ATTTTTTTGATTATCCGCACCAAAAAATCAGTGTTCTTTTCCAAATTTTACAGCTAAAGCAATAATTAGAAATACTGAAGTACTTTGTTCCCAAAGAATTATAAACAAAAAAAAAAGTATTTTTAAACCTTATTAACTGATATTGAATCAGTAAGTGAGCTTATCTTCAAGCTTGGATTAGTTATAGAATTCAAGCCAAAAAAATTTAACAAGGTCCAACTTTGACTTTGTTATCCCTCTATGATTTTTGTTTTTGACAAGGGTAAAAAATCTAAGCACATTCATTTCAAATCTTGCCAATAAATGTTATACAAACCCTTAAGACTTTGAGTATTGATTCAAATTTAAAGGACTAATTCCGTTGTGCATTCGCCTAATAACGTATACTCGATTCTAATTTTCCATCTTAAATTTCAATTTTGAACATATTGCACTATAAACTCTTGGATCTAATCCATTTGAATCCAGTCTAAGGAGTTTCTTATCTTACCAACGTCATTATTTGAGGAATAATTCAATTTGCTAAAGCTTTTAAAATTAAGCTTATTCATTATTGAATCAAACTCAAATATAATTTTATTAATTCAAACTTAAGTAGCTTGACATTTTTTACGCAAATCTGAAATTAGCATAAGATTGGGTTGAACTTAAAAATTTACACACTCAAAATGTTATTCATTTCGGTTTCATTAGTTAGTGATCCTCTTAAATGAACTCTTATTCAACCGTTCTCAATTTGAATATCAAGTAAATTGATTTTCTCTTTTAACTCTAAATTTAGATACAAAAAAAAAAAATTTTGCATACCATGCTGGATAAAAGAACAATGCACCGAAATTTAATTGCTCCCTTAATCTACATATTTGACAGATTATTCCAGTCTCTTAAATAATGTATGCTTTGCACACTCCATGTTCATCTTCTAACGATTAGTGTAATCAAACTTATAATTTCAACATTTTTTTTAAATTCGATTGGGAACACAAAGCACTATTACCCACGCATATTTAGCAAATTTGGCAGGGCATATTGTCTTTAATTACCTACGCGCATCGCGCGTTTTATACCTCCGAGTTTTAACAAAAGGAGGAGGAGGAGGAGGAGGCATCTCTCCAAGGTTTTTACTTTAAGGTAAGCAGAGTTGTCAGGTGGTTCAAGCAATAAACGAACAACAACAACGAATTGAAGCCAAATAAAATAATAATGAACGGCCGGCCAAAACGATTGGAGGCTAGTCCCTTCTGATTTTTGATGAATTTGTGGCCAAGGAATCAATCTGTAATTTTGCCTCACATGCAGGCGCAGGCCCAGACTTTCGGCGGTTGAAAAATCAATAATCTTCGACCAAAATCTCTAACTACACCACCATACTGCATAATGGATCATTCATGATGCAAGGCTTCTGTTCTGTTGACCAAAAGCATTTGAATAATAATTATTTTCTTTCATCCATCCTAGAAAATTCTCCACTTACACGCAAAATGTACTAACACGAAACTGATTTTGATTCCGAGGTAGCAAGCGGTGAAGGCGTCTCTCATTCACATGATGGTTTAAGCAAACTTTTCTTTTGCAAAAGAAACTACTACTTATTATGTATAGTGTAGCGGCCAAATTAAAGACCAAAGGAAAGAAAATCATTTTTCGGGTGCATAAAATAAAAGCCAAGATTGCACATGTTAAAACTAGTTTAGATCGTGCGACTGGGGAAGCAAAAAAAAGTCAGTTGTCTCAAATTTCAGTAGACTTCTGGATTGCCACCGAACAGCCTTACTCCATTTTTGTCAGTTCTCAGCCAACAGCCAACACGACAGCCAAAGCCAATCTTTAATTGTTCTCTGGAACAAATGTCAAAACCTTGGAACATGCAACATAAATTTGCATCAAATGTTCCTCGGCTTGTTGTAGTAGTAGTAATTTATAAAACTTCAGTTACTTCCCATGTCGGTTTTTTAGAATTACAATACATCATTTTCTTCAGAGAGTTCAATAATAATACTCCCTCCGTCCCACTTTGATAGTCCTGTATTCATTTTTCATCTGTCCCAAATTGTAGTCCACTTTCCAAATGAAGAACGTAGTTGTATTTTAATTTTTCTAAAATACCCTTATTCAATGTAAGTAGTTGTTACTATAAACCTACCCCATTTCATGAGAGTTGATTCTTTTTTTACCATCAATTCAAGTTCCCATAAAGTTGAACCATATTTAATGTGAGGGTATTTTTAGAAAAATAGCAATCTAAATTTACTTTTCCAACAAAGTTAACTACTTTTTCTTAAACTGTGTGAAAAAAGAAACAGAACTATCAAAGTGGGACGGAGGGAGTAATATGTTATTGACTTCTCTCTTATCTCGCATTGGAAATTGGAATTATAATTTATACTGATGTGGTGTTGATATTGAATGCATAAGAGATTGACTACTATAACATGACATGAAGACCTAAAGGAGATTATCACGGATGTTTTCCAACCTTAAACTTAAAGCAAGACCGGTAGTAAAAAAAAAAACAAAACAAAACAAAACATGCAAAGGGTTCCAATTAACTGCCAGTCTGTTTAATGCAAGAAGCCCAACTCATTTTGAGTGATTTCTATCTGCAAGCCGGCAAAAGTGCGTTTGGGCTTCAGAATTTGAGATTTATGCCAACCCAAGAGCCATGCTGTAGGGTCGCAATATAAGTTAGATGGCCTGCACGGTCACACTACCCGGAGAACCCAGTCAACAACTGGGGCCCAAAAAACATCAGCAATCTTGTCAGCATAATATCAGTCACCAAATGATATTCAAATCCATCACTGTTCATCATTTACCTTTTTTTTCTTTGTTCTGCTCCTGCTCTGATTTTGTACTAAGCGGAGGGAAGGCCTAGAGACGTTAATTAGAGAAAGAATCGACGTGGATGAAATCACCGTCGAATCATCAAATAGATACACAGTACTACTGTTTATTATTTACCCCTGCATAGTTTGAAATCTTCTTTAAACTCGAAAAAAAAAGGCCAAAAAATGGAAGCTAAGACAAAAGAGGATGGATGAGACAGTAGTGAAAAAAGTCTTCAAACAATAACCAAATCAGATAGAGCTATGGTCCTTGACCACTTCATCCCCGAGAGTAACAGAGCTATTGTTATTATCTTTTAAAAAAATGTAAAAACAAGAGAAATTTAAGAGTCCAATAGAAACTAGTAAAAAAATTTGTGTTTTGGAGAGACTCCATCCCAGAAGTTTTTTTTTTATTTTAAATATTTCACTGAAATTTTAAATTCAAAAAATACATACTCAAAAACACCTAATCATCTACGCTGTATATATTATTACAGTAAAACCTTTAAAAACTCCAAATCTTACGCAAGCAAATAAAATGAGAGCGGGAAAAGCTTGAAAGTGGAAACTTCCCCATGACAAACCTTTCTGCAGGTTGATGAGCTGTCTACTCATCTTTACCACGAGAAAGGCGAAACAACGCGTTGGACCAGGTGACCAACCCCGTCCTTCTTTTGCCCTTTTTTGGGCGGTGGGGGCCGGGAATGGGGTGTGTGGGCCTGTGGGGGTGGCAGCGGTACACTTTGGATCCCTCGAACACGATTTCAAAATATTGAAATTTTTTCTTAAAAAATAGCAGTCCCTACCTATCTTTTTTTTTTTTTTTTTCGAAGTGATAGATTCAAAGGGGTTAATTGGAAATTCGAAGGAACTGCATAGTCATCAAACTAGACAGATGCCTTTGCTCCCATTGATAAATATTTTCAAAAAAATTCAAAAAAAAAATGTAAGCCAAGGAATCAACTATTCTAGAGGAGGTGGTTAGGAGCTATGTTTTCAGAACCGGACCGGATAGCGACTCGGCCGAGATCAGGGGTCAGGGGTCAATGGGTTCGACCGAGGGTCGATAGGGGTCGAACCGGATGACGTCATAAATAAAAATTATTTAAAAATTAAAATATTATATATATAATATCTAATAATATATATTGATATTAATAAAGGTATATCCATATATATTTGATGTTTCAAATATATTTAACAAGAAAATACAAAGAAATTATAACAATCAAGTAGCAATTTATATTATTTAATAAATATTAACAAGTTTAGAATTAAAATTATGAATTTAATTGAAAAATAACATAAAATTTTAGGACAATATTTATAAAGTATCAAATATTTGAGATATATCAATAAGTTTTAACAATTTAGGGGGTCAAAACATAATATTAAAAAGTTTGAATATTTTTAAAAAAATTACTCTGTTGAACCGGAAAAATTGGTTTTTTCCCGGTCAAACCCGATTTTTGACCGGCTTTTAAATTTCCGGTTTTTTAATATGACTCGGACCGGCTACCTGGCCGGTTCTCGGTTCGACCGGCCGGTCCGGTCCGAGTTTGAAAACAGAGGTTAGGAGTCCTGCCTCATCTGCTTCCATTTTGTTTGGATTGGGCTTTATTTCTCCAAATTTATTTGCTTACATCATCATTACAATTTTCAATACACCTTTTCACCTTTTCAATTACCTTTTTATCTCACATACATCACATCATAAAAAATATTACAGTAAAAATATCTCTAATAATTCACAATCCAAACAGATAAATGTAATAGCTCACATCACCTGAAAGACTATACTCTCAAGTCTAGTCTAGTTGTAGATAATTGGACAATTAATGGTATTTCTCTCTACCACTTGGCGACCAATTTTTCCTACTCCACAATTTTTCAATCCACCGCCATCTGAACGACAATGACGTCCATCCGACATTCCAAGTATGTATGTTTTTTTTTTGGGTCAACCATCACAATTTACTTTGCATCTCCTTCTACTCTAAGTCTATTGTAGAAGGTGATTCAATTGAATAAAGAAAAATTAATAGAGATTGAACTGTGAAATCATACGAATGCAATTTATACTCATGTGAATTTGAAGGAGCTACGTATAATCTAACAGAGTAATATGAATTTGAAGAAATAAGATAGATCGAACCATTATTGGGATTGAACCATCGACAAACCATACCACACGAGGCTCCAATCTATAGTATGTTTACTAGAGTAGCATCCCGAGGCTGGAAGACTTGACCAATTCCTTCAGTCTCTCTCACGACTGACTAATCAGCTGAAGTGCTACTAAATCGGCCCTTCGTCCGCGTTTACCAAACTTCATTTCCCCTCTTCCAAGCCCTAATAAAGATGCCCAATCTTCCGCAGGAGCTCATCACCGACATCCTCACCCGGCTGCCGGTCAAGTCCCTCCTGAGATTCAGGTGCGTATCGAAACCATGGTGCAGCGTGATTGATAGCCGTAGTTTCATCAAAATGCATCTGCTTCAGTCCAAAAAGACTGGCTCAAATTTGTTCCTCATGCTTGGATTCTTGGGGATTTATTCTGTTGAGTTGGATTCTCTCGACGCTGCCAATAGGCTTCGCCCGCCATACTCCGCCTCAGATGTATCCAACTCTTGCAATGGCTTAATCCTTGTTTTGGCTAAAATCCCTTTTATTTGGAACCCCTTCACTAGAAAGTACAGGGAATTACCGGCTACTCCGGTCGAACAACCGGTTGATTTTGAGGTTGGTTCTGCTTATGTGACTTATGGGTTTGCTTATGATGCTGTGAATGATGATTATAGAGTGGTCAGGGTTGAGGAGTTTAGAGGCTTTGATTCGGAGTGGATTAGGTCTGAGGCGAAGCTTTATAGTTCTAAGTCGGATAAGTGGCGAAAGATCAAAAATTTCCCTTATCAGCTTCCTTATAAGAGGGCCTGGGGTGCTCATTTGAATGGTGTTTTGCATACGGGAGTGAGAACAGGGGATCTTGGTTACTTCGACTCGTCGATTTGGGCTTTTGATGTTCGGACTGAGCAGCATTATACCTTGCCAAAACCGGATTTTACAGGTACTGATCTTGAGTTCACTGTGGAGGTCTTGGGTGGTTGTCTGTGTTTGGTTCGTCCTCGAAAGAGGTATCGAACGGATGTATGGATAATGAAGGAATATGGAGTGAAAGAATCTTGGACTAAATTGCTAACAATCGCTCCTCCACTCGTTGAGCGGTATATTACCATTGGCCCGTTGGCTTATTCAAGGAACGGTGAAGAGGTTCTCTTGAACCACGACGATAAACAACTTATTTGGTATGATTTGAGAAGGAAGACTGTTAGGAATGTCTCTGTTGATGGTTTGCCATTTGTCTTTTATGCTGAGGTATGTGTTGCAAGCCTCATTCAGCCTGATGTCTCCGGAGAAGGGGATGAAACTGAGGAGCTACGCCAACAGGAGAAAAGTAGAGTGAAAAAAAGGTAAGTTGTTTCAATTGTCTACAATTGTTGTGCTTTCTTCCGAGGCTATTCTTTCTCTTAAATACACATTTGCATGAACACACAGAAATATTACATATCATGTATACTAGGGCAAATTTAGTTCCTTGTGCTCTTCTTGTTCTTTAGGCTTCGTAAGTGTGGCAGCATGACTAGTTGAGATTTTAATGATTACAGGTCTGGTTTTTCTCCCCACTGGTAATTACGGATATGAAAAAGCTGTCTGCTTCTATCTTTGTTAAGTCTTGTTTTTATCTCTCACACTGCATCTGTAGGCCTCACGCTGCATGCTTAATTTTCTCTTTGTTCTACTAGGGTTGATTTCCTGTCAGAGGGATTTAAACTGGTGCTATGAAAAAATTGGCAGCAACTGGAGCGAACTAAGCTGGTAAGGTGTTAGTATTACACGGTATAATAAGTTTTGGATGCAATGATGACGTTTTTGAGATGATTGAGAGGGTGTTAATTTTATCATAACTCGGTAGATTTTCCAGACACAATGTTGTTTTGCATTGAAAGAACTTTTTGAAACTAATTTATTCTCAGGGAACTTGCTGAACAGATGTGACAAGTCTTTTTCATAAGGTTTTTCATGGATTGATGAAGTGAAGACACTGAAGAATAATACTAGTCGTTTTCTTATGTAATCTTGAACTTTGTAGCCTCTTGTTGTAAATATGCACCTGATATCTTATTTTAACTGATGTATTTAGCTTTGGACTACTGAATACTATATCGATTGTGTGCTGTAGCTAACGCTAGGAATAATTGTTCAATGCAACGCTGATGTTTTTAAGATGATTGAGAGGGTGATATTTTCATAATTTTTCCGACACAATAATGTTGTTTTGCTTCAAAAGAAAGTTGGGAACTAATGCATTGTCTGGGAACTTGCTGAACAGATGTGAAAGTGATGAAGTGAAGACAGTGAAGAGTAGTGCTAATTGTTTTGTTATGTAGTTTTAAAACCTTTAGCCGCTTGTTGCATATATCCGCCTGATATCTTGTTTTAGCCAATGCATTTAACTCTGGAGTAGTGAATGTGATATTAATTGCGTGCAGTAGCTGACACTGGCGTTTGTGTTTGCAATTTTTATATATCAAGGGACATGCTATGGTAAAATGTTGGTGATTCTAAACTAAGAAGTTAGGTTGTGTTGCAAGGTGAAATGATCATTGATTTATGATGATCATCTAGAAGGCAGTTTGATGGAATGATCTTTGTGATATTTGTGGTGACTGGACAGAGCAGGTTGTATAATTAGAGCTTTAAAGAAATCTGCAACATGGCTTCACTTGGCATCAACGTTATCAGAGTCCCACTGTGGTATACCTGAACGAAGAAGAACCAAGACTTGAGGTAATTCTGTTTTGACTCTCTTTGTTGGTCTCTTTAGCGTGTAGATATATTCTTTAAAAGTCAAATTATGTGAATGGGAGGCAATTTTGATTTCGCAAGATTGACAGTTTTTTGAATTTTTTTTTTTTTAAAATATGTTTTAGCAATTTTTGGGATGCAATAATGTGTGATTGGAAAATGTTTTTTTTTTTTTTTGGCAATTAATGGGGATCTAGACAGATCTTTGCCATTCTAAACTTGATTTTCCCTTCTTATAAGGAAGCTGGTAAGGGAGAGCCCACACCGGAAAATGATGTTGGAATCGAAGTCTCAAGTTTTGACTCTTGCCAAGGGAAAGATGTTAGGTATATATTATTGTTGTGTATCACACGTTGCACTGTACACCATATACTCTACGGAGGCAATGCAATGTGGCGTGATGGTGCGATTTTTCCACCATCTCAAGCAAATGGTAGTGGATCACTTCTTTGGTAAATTATGATGATTTTCAAAACAATCATAATCCGAAGTTTGAAGAAACGACCTACTATCATTATCTTGTTCCGGGTGAATGGTAGGTGATTCGATAGGTGACGCGGTCCCCCTTTTGTTTGGATTGCTGGTTTCTGCAGCAAAATTTTTACATTTTTTGTAAATATATTTTTTAATTAATTTTTTATCATATATATATATATATATATACATACATACACGGAATGTTTACATTATTTTCTTTTAATAAAGACTTTTAAAAAATAACAGTTTTGAAATTTGAGAATCGAGACGGCTCTCCTGACAATTTTGTGGTTCAAACAAATGAATGATTATTGAGTCGAAGTGGCAAGAAGTTTGATAGATACTTCCTAAGCAATGAGTTCTTGGATTGAGAAATCAACGTGAGAGAATCATTCTCCAAAATGGTACGACAATGCTCGACCCTGGATTAATCGACGAGGCTTAATGTGATTATTGGACATTGGAGGCTTACAAAAGGTTAAAAGAAAAAAAAAAAGTTTGCAACTCCAACAAAGATGAACGTCATTAATAAAGAAAAGAAAAATAAATTCAAAAAGCAAAAAAGTGCGAATGGCATTGAGGCCATCCGGTTTTGCTAGTTGCAACTTTACCTTTGCAAGATTCCGGGGGTTAATTTTTTTTCGCCTTTTACGGCAATGACAATATTTTTTTCTCTCGGGAGAATAGTCTAAAAAGGTTGTGTATAAAAGATTAGTAAATATATGAATCTGATTAGATTAAAGGGGTGTTTTGACATTTTTTTAGATTTCTTTCACTGCAAGTGGGGTTCGATCCTCTAACCTATGGTTCAAAGGGGGATTTAATCCTTTTTTGACGGTGATTGAATCAAAACTCAGTGATTTTCGGGGATTAACTTTTTTTTTTTGAACATGATAAATTTTATTTTATACCCACTCTTACTTTATATTAAGTGAAAGGGATGGATTCAAGAGGATAAATGGAGAATTCGAAAGAGATTGAAACGCCACAATCAAGTATCCGCTATGAAAATTTCAAGAAATTTTGGACAAAAATATGGATCAAAGGATCGAATTTCTTCATCTATATCCAAGAAAAGTTTTAAAACTCTCCTACCCATCAATTACTTGTATAATTGGAGTAGCTGGTTGTTTCCAAGGATTAATTGAACCGTACAAAAGTTCATGAATGAGGAGAAAAGGCAGAGTGCCCACTTCTGACAGCTAGTAGATTCCGATTAGAAGTATGTGGTAGGTACTTTTTATGTCCTTTAAAATTCAGATCCAATAGTTGTCGGGTAGGAGGAAGTGGCAGTTGGAACAGTTGGGTGGGGCGGAAAAGATGTTGAATTTGGGTACATATTCTACCCGATACACAAATTTGGGTACAAATTCCAAACAAGGACTTAGGTTCTGTTTGGATAGCAATTTTTCTTTGAAAAATTGATACGTTTTTCGTGAACACATTTTCCTATCATCATTTTACCTCACATATATCAAATCGTTATAGTAATTTTTCTACAAAAAATCTAGAAAAATACAATCCAAACAAAACCTTTAGTTATTGTTTGGATTGAAGTTATTTATAAAAAAAAATTTTAAGTTTTTCGTGAACATATTTTTAATCGCTTTTTTATTTCACACATATCAAATCATTACCGTACATTATTTTTAAAAAAATTGAAAAATGTAGAATTCTACATCCTATAGCGGTTCATTTTCCAAGCATCAAGCTTGAGATTCTATTGGCTATTTTTGAGACTTGCTCTCCGATTAACTTGTCCTTTTTCTTGCGTAGATTTTCTAATTGAGTTTAATTCTTAAAAGGCTCGTTACATGAACTTGCACAAAAGCTAACATCTGTATTCGATACTGCAGTTTATTTTTATTCTTTAGCAATTTCAACTTTCTTTTTTTTTTTTTTTAAAGAAAACTAGTCCTTGTCTAACCAAATATGAATATCCCCAGTACATAATGGTGTTTATTTATTTTTGACCCTCCCGCACTAACTATCATAGAATTCAAACAATGAGGAGGGCTGTTTTAAACTCTGATCTTGACAGCGATAGAAGTTTTTTCGAATCCCGAACTTGACAGTGAAGAGAGTTCTAAGGTTGTGTTTGGATTGCATTTTTCATATTTTTTCATGGAAAAATTACTGTAGCGATTTGATGTATGTAAGGAAAAAAGGTAATAGGGAAATATGATCACGGAAAACGACGTAATTTTCCGACGAAAAACCGCAATCCAAACAAGGCCTAAAACTTTCTTCTTTTGGTTAATGGGCTTGGGCCGGTGGTTTGGCGTTTGATTAGTTGAAGAACCACGCTTTCAAAGTTGAAAGCACAAAATTGATTTTAATAATTGGTAAAATCACAAAAAAAAAAGATAAAGAAATCAATAAAATACATGTGTTATTGAAATAATAAATTGTGAATCATTGATTTTTTTGGGGTCAATTATCAATAATTTAGGCTCCGTTTGGATTGCATTTTTCGTCATTTTTTATTAAAAAATTACTGTAACGATTTGATGTAAATAAGAGAAAAAAATAATAGAAAAATGTGATCACGAAAAATGTAGCAATTGGTATTACTCTACTCATGCATTATGACATTGGTATGGTCTAATTGGGCTGGCTCGTGTAGCGTTCAAGGCCAGCCACCTCCTCGGTTAAGATAAATGCACTCGCACACTCTTTGAATTTTTTTCTTTGGTTGAATGCGTCAGTCAGTTCTAAAACATTTATATAAGCAAACTACTACACTAATATTTTACAGATGTAGTAACCTGGGTCGGCCACCGCAATATGTAATTTCACGGGGGTCCCGCTGCTGTCCCCAACAGATTGCGTACTACTAAAGCAGGCCACAGCTCCAACAATAAACAGCGGCACGTGTAGCCCTACACGCCTCTTTTTCGTCACAATACCGCAACCACCCATCCCTGTCCCATCCCATCCCTTCCTTGGCCACCCAAACCGAAAGCACCGCTCCGACCTACCCTAACATGGTGGATTGTTTTTCTGTCCGGCTGAAGCATATCATCCCCTCCAATGTCTCCTTCCGTGTGCTCCACTCCTCTTCCCTTACCCTCGCAAGTCCCCAGGATGCCGAATCTCCCCTGGGAGCTCATCCTGGACATCCTCTCCCGTCTGCCGGCGACATCTCTCCTGCGATTCAGATGCGTTTCTAAGCCATGGCGCTCTTTAATTGACAGCCCTGATTTCGTCCAGATGCACCTGCGCCAATCTCAGAAAGCCGCCGGCACCACCAATCGAAGCCTCATCCTTGGGTTTCTGGGAATCTATTCCATTGACTTGGATTCCCTCGACTGCGCCCGCCCTCTCAGGCCCCCCTTTTCCAGTTCTGATGTGTCGAATTCCTGCAATGGCTTGGTTCTTCTCCTGGGTCAAAATCAAACGCCTTTTCTGTGGAACCCATGTACCAGAAAATACAAGACTTTACCCGATTCCCCTCATGAATATCCTCCTCCTGGGATTCCTGTGGACTACAACGCTTTATACAAGAGGTATGGGTTTGGCTATGTTGCTCAAGACGATGATTATAAAGTTCTTAGGGTTGTCGAATTTCGATCTCCCGATTCCACTTGGATCGGTTCTGAAGCTAAAATCTATAGCCTGAAAACCAATTCTTGGAGAAGGGTTGATCATTATCCTTTTCCTCTCCCCCGAATAAGAGGGTGGGGTGTCCATGTTAACGGGGCTGTGCATACAGTCTTATCGCTCGACAACTATTACCAAGAAATTGTAGCTTTTGATCTGAGGACTGAAAAGCACTATACGATCCCAAAACCGGATCTTTTGCTTGAGAACGTTGAGTTGAGTGTGGATGAAATGGCTGGGTGTCTCTGCTTGCTTGTTCGCAAAAAACGCAGGATTAATATATGGATCATGAAGGAGTACCATGTGAAGAGCTCCTGGACTAAGCTTTTGTCGATTGCTCCTCCTCTTATTGATGAGCATTGTTCTCTTATTAGCCCTTTAGCTTATTCAAGGAGGGGCGACGAGGTTCTGTTGAATTGCGATGATGAAAAGCTTGTTTGGTATGATTTGACGAGGAAAACTACTAGAGACGTTGATGTCCAGGGTTTGCCTTTTAGGTTCTACGCCGAGTTTTTTGTTGGAAGCCTTCTTCCTCTTGAAAATGGCTGTCGTGGTGGTGGTGGTGGAGAGGATGAGATTGGCATCACGAGAAGGGCTACTAGACAAAAAAATACAAAGGTGAACGACACCCGGAAGAAGAGGTACTAATAAAATGGAGTCTAATGTTACTAAAGTCTTGGTCGCGTTATTTAAATGTAAATGGTTGTGTTATTTAAATGTAATTGCTGTTCTGTTTCCATTGAATTTTCCACGGGTACCAATATTACTACTATTTCTAACAGCCTTTTGGAAATACTAAGGTCAAAATTATATATCTTTTGGAACTCCCGATTTTACTTCATGTGAAGGTAGATCTGTTCCGGATTTTCAAGACTTGGAAGGTAGTAAAAAATACCGTCAATTTACTTTTTGGGCTGGTGGATGAGGGGTGCTATGAATTTACTTCTTTATCCAAAGCTGCTAAATTGGACATAAAAATATAAAAGAATAACTCTTCTTTTCTTTCAGATCAATCTGCACTTTCAAAAGTACCAAGTTGTGAACTTTGTCACATGCTTCATTTAGTCTTTAGCTGAATCCTGAAACACGGATTTGATAAGGTTTGGGATAGATACTGGATGCTGTGACAATTTCACACTGGTGGTGTTACAGCTGATATAGCTAGGTCACTGCCCTCCTTTGACCTTCGGTAACATATCCGCCCCTGTTTGCTAGTTCTTGAGAAAAGACCAACAACAAAGTATAGGTGAGATGCATGCAAGAACAAAAGGGGGAAAAAGTGAAGTTCGCATGTAGCTAGGATTATTGACTTCAGAATATTGAAACTTGTTAAACTGGTAACTGATCAGTGGGCACAAACAGAAAAAAGAATAACAAAAAAGCCCTGAAGAGCAAGTCAAGTATTTGCATATGAACAAGTGCATAATAGAAGGTTAAATTTTTCTTCCTCTATTTGCCTTCCTCCTCCTAGTGGAAGCAAAAGTTTATATGAGTTCTCTTTCTCCTCCTATTGGGTAACTCTTTTTGGTGATTATTTTGTTTGGGAGCGCTCATGTTTTCAGTTTTTACAGCTCATAAAGAACAGATATCTGCATTAACCTTCATGGTCAACTCAAGATTGGTCATTACTGCCTCATCCCTTTGGTTTTAACAAAGAAGGAAGAGAAAGGAAGGGGGGGGGGGGAATTTACTGTCTCTACAGAGAATCTTTTGTTTCCCATCCCATTGAAAGAATATGACCTTTGGCTTAATCTTACTTACTTTGTTTCTCAGGGATGATTTCCTGTCGAAGGGATTTAAACTGGTCCTTTAAGACTCCAGCTATGGATGTTTATGGAGCCAAAAATAAAAGTAAGTTGTTCAGCAATTTTACGGGAGATTATAGCATCTGTATGAGTCGTACTTTTTGATCTTTACTAAAGGAGTTGATTAATAGTTTTTCTCTAACAACAACACTGTAGCAAAGACTAATTCTATATCGTTTATTGTGGTGAGTTACTATCTGATGAACCTTGTAACTTTGTGACAATAGTATTGTTACTGACAAAACTTATAATGCTCTCTCAGAAGAATATGTTCTATAATGGCACAAAATCTAGCAGACAGTTTAAGGACAGAGAAAGAGACAGGTAACAACTCACTCAGAATTTTGAACCAGTTTTGTTCTTGTTTGTGTTATTTTAATGAAGTGCATCTGCACATTCCTGACGGTCTTTAAATATCTGTCTCTGAAATATGTAGAATTATGTAGCAGGAGTGCGAATAGTTTCTCATGGAAGCTGCTAAAATGGATTTTCTGATGCTTACGATCCTCAATTCATTTGTTGATGTCTCTAGTCTGAACATGCTTCTTTCTCCTTTCTTCCTTTTCAATTTAGAGCCTGAACTTTCTGTCCCTTTGAGGATTATCCTTCAGTTATGCTGTATTGAATTTCATGATCTTATGCTTTGGGAAGGAGTGTCAGCTGAGGTGAGCATCGTCTCTGTTTCATACCTCTTTGACTTATTAATCATAGGAATGGACAGTTTTTTGAAACTATACCCATGAGGGATTGGCATGCACTCAGAATTCAGAGCAAGCAAAGGCTGAAAGCTAAACTAAACAAGAATAGAGTTTATTAGATGCACGAACTTTTAAGGCTATTTGGAAGTTAGAATCACACTTAAGTTGTGATGTTCCACCATATTGCCCTTGCTAGAATCTTCATGATCAGTCAACGTCCCAGCATTAGTTTATGGATGATGTGCCTTGGTTGTGGCGAGCTGTTCTTGGCGTTGGATTCACAATCATAGTGGATATGGGTATAGCTTTTGGTCATGTCATTCTTGACTACAAGATGCTTAGATGCCATCTTTTAGGATTTTACTTGTAGATCTATGTTTAAAAGACTGTTTTTTAAGAAGGGAAGGTTGTGCAGCTGAATAAAACTGTGATGGTATGCATTCTCACCTGGAAATTACACGGTTCTTGAGGGCCTTTTACGTTTTGTTACTTTCTTGCTGGGATATTGTTGGAGTTGATTATGGGTGTTGCACAATTCCAGGTTTGCTTGATTTCTTGAGCTTGTTTGTTATGTTCGTGGGTTGGATTGTGTTTCTGGGTGTGGATGCGAAGAAGGATGTCTTGAGTTGCTGGAGCTGGAAGCCAAAAATTAGAGAGGGATGCTTTCTGGATCCATTAGCAGTATTTATTGAATGATCAAGCATGAGCTGATGATTGTATGATGCTAGATTTAGTGGTGTTCTGGTTAGAGCTGTTGTGGCCGTGAAACCACTTTCCATCATTTTCGTTGTAGTTGGTGTTGGGGTTTGCTCATCAACATTATCTTGAATTCAAGAGTTGTTCCTGTAATTAGACCTTTTCTTTCTGACCTTAATGTTCTCCATGTCTGTGGTTTTTTTTTTTTTTTTTTTTTTAAAAAAAAATTTGATGTACTTTTCATATGGTGAAGTTAAAAACTTTAGTTGTATTTTAAATTTGTTTGATGAATTTCTAATCATAAAAACTTGTGTACTTCAGAAATAGATTTTTAAGACTATTTTACACGCGAATGAGATTACTACGGGGCGTGGCATTCAGTTTATAATAATCTTCATCACAAGTCCGTCGCGTTGATTCCTTCAAGCAAATTTCACCATGAGAAATTGAGTAACTGTTGATGCAAGTTGGCCTCGGTAGGACCTGCTAGGATTTTCACCGGCTTACGTGTATACAATATGAATAAAAATATCTCTTTTTTCTCCATTTTTACCAGCATGGATCCTACAAATTTCGGGCCGTTTGAGACCTGAGTTTTTTGGGAGTTTGTCTAAAACTTTACTGTACACTGTAGAAGTTTTTGAAAAAATTTTGTAAAAGTTTTTGTAAGGTGAACAACTTTTTTATAGAAATTTTTGTAGGTGGAAATTTTTTTTTTCTTTTCTTTCTTTTTCTTTCTTTCCTTTTTCTTTCCTTAAATTTTTGTATTTAAGCATGGATCCTACAAATTTCAATTCTCCTAAAAATTTAACTCATTTCCAATGTAGTTAATTAAACTTCAAATGCAAATTTAATGAGTATGGATGTAGATATGCACACTCCAACGTCAATAGATATTCTTCCTGCTTAAATAGATATACTCTCTTTTTGACAAAAAAAAAAAAAATAGATATACTCTCTAATGTTAATAGAGTAGAACCTTTCTAGTTGTTGAATTTTAGATAAACAAATGTTACAGTAATTAATAATAATAATATTTCAAGTAATTTCTTATTCGAATACGCTCAAGTTCCGGTGCATGAGTGTACTATTTATTTATTGAATAGTACACTTTTCATGCATCAATGCACTAGTTTAAATCTAGTTATTGGATATTTAGACGGGACAAGAATAGGCAAATAAGAACAATTGAGAAGAAGAAAATAAATACATGGAATTTTTAATATATAAAAGAAATATTATTTGCACTCCTATTTTTTTTTTAATCACATTTTCACTATTTTTTATCACATGATTTTTATTTACTAAACTATATAATACAACAAGTGGTGAGAGTGCAATTAACCAAAAAATGGAGTGTAAAGAAAATTTTCTTATATAAATAGATCCAGAAACAAATATATATATATATGAGCTGATTGATATTTTAAAATAAGCCCAAACAAGTTTGTGAGAGTGCAATTAACAAAAAATGGAGTATAAAGAAAATTTTCTTATATTTTCTCTTGTACGTACGTGAAATTCATGTGCTCAATCCTATTTGGGCCCGCGTATCATGTTTAGTACAGGATGATTCGATTTCGACCCAAACAAATATTCTGACACAAGTCAGATTGGTCCCACTTGTATTATGAGTTTTTCAAAATTTTTTTTTTATTAATACGATAAATTCTATACCATGACTGCTTCAACTTTAGAAGGAGGAGGACTTAAAGAAAATCAGGAAGATTTAAACAGGTCAAGGGGAATTCGGTGAACCACCACCAATTCAGACCGGTATGTATGCAGTGGACAAGAGGACCTAAACTGGTCAATAGAAACTCGACATTCAGGTAAAGTTTTAAAATTTTTTTGGTGGTAGGAGTACTTGGTTTGCGAGTTATTCAATTGGAAGTTGTTAAAATATTTTTTTGACATATTCTCTAAATAATTTTTTTAATTTCATATACTTCGCATTACTTACAATAATATTCTTTTCTTTTTTTATTTTGTAACAAAAGCTCCCAAACACTCTAATCCAAACTCGGCTGGCTTATAAGATGCAGGCTTAATTGTCAGCTACAAGTCGGCCGCGCGCATGTTAAAAGTTAAAACCATCGCTCGCTGATTCAATTTCGAAGAAAATCCATATGTACATGATGTGTATTAGTTTGATGTGTACTGTATGTCAATATCTTATATATTTGCCCGTGTGTGTATATATATAAACACAACAATCAATGGCCTTAGAGTCATATATATAAGTTCTTCTAATACGAGAGAAAAAAAAGCTGTTGGATAACATCATCATATTTTTGTTTTTATTAGGCATAAAAAATAAATAAAATAGGGTTTAGAAATAATTATCCAAATTCACATCAATCCCCAGAACCTTAAGCGTCAATTTGTTTTAAACCACCCTACAAGAAAACTCATCAATATCCAATGTCCAACAATAGATATATATACGTAGACGTAGACAGCCAACATCGGAATGGGGATCAGCATAAAAAAGGAAAACAGGGTCAGACAGACTGTAATCGTAATGCGTTGCGGCAAAGCAGAAATCAGTCCTCTTTAGTCATTTCAACTAATTCCTAGGTCTACTAATCCCTCTATTCTCACTGTTCAGTGGTCGCGGCAGCGCTAGTCCTCTCTCTCTGGCTGTGGGTGAAGTCCGCTCAGTCCCTTCTCATGATCATCCATCGTTATCACCTTCCTCTTCTTTTCTACACACTCACACATCAGTCCCTACTCCACCAACCCGCCTCCTAGCAGCTTAGGTTTTCGTCCCATGGCCTTTCTCCTTCAGATTTATTGAATTCCGATTCGGTGGGTTTCGGTCCATCCCCTTTTTTCCCTTTCTTTTTGTTTTTTTGCCTAAAACCTCTCGCCTCCTTTCCCAAATGTCCTCTCGCCTCGAAACCATCCACAATTGGACCGTCTCCACCACCACCACCGCCAATTCCATCAAGCGCAAGCTGGACGACTTTCACAGCGACTCTGATGATTCCGACGACGACGACTTGTTCTCCCTAGGAAACTCCTTCTTCCCCGCCTTGGCCAGGATGCGAAAAGACCATCTTGCCCCTTCCTTCACCTGCCCCCGTCCTCTTCATCCCTCCCAACCCTCCCGATCATCTTCACCCTCGTCCTCGGAATCGTCAGCTGCCGCCGTTGCCTCCTCCGATGACGACGACTCCAGCGGCGGCGGCAGCAGCGCCTCCTCCTCCTCCTCCTCATTCTTCGCTCCTGGACTCCAGTTCTTTGTACGGATGCTCTCCGGCGGTAAGACGCTCGTCATCCACGCCGATCCTTCCGACTCCGTCAAGTCAGTTCACGAGAAAATTCAGTCGGTCACCGGAATTCCTATCGAGGAGCAGAGGCTAATTTACCGGGGGAAGCAGCTCCAGTGGGAGCAGTCGCTGTCGGAATGTGACGTCCAAAACGACACCGGCTTGCAACTAGTCAGCCGCATGCGCAGCACTAGGCATCCCAATGCTTGGCACTGCGTCGACGATATGTTGTCCAAAATTTTACATCTTTACAAGGGCGACCGGACCCGACCCGTGGGGCCTACCGTGAAATCGCGCCTTGCCGAATTCCTCAACGACATTCCCCAGAAAGATGAAGACGTAGAATCATCCATCTCTTACCTCCAGATATTCCTTTCGTCTTCTGTGCCTGCCGCCCTGGTAATGCTTTACTTGTCACCTGTAAAGAGTAATAGAGATTGTGCTGATGATTGCATTAAGCATTTCATCCAGAATTGCAAGACCTTTTGCAAGGGACAGGTTTACGGGCATTTGGCTCACTTAGTTTTAGAGTTCTGTAAGTTATTGGGTAGGGGAGCTGGGATTGAGGACCCTTTGTACAATACTTGTCGTAGTTGCTTAGGTTCGATGGTAGAATATGTTGGCTTTGGGGGCAGGGAGACTAAAATGTCCAAGGATGGAGGTATTGCTGTCATAGAGATATTTACATTTCTTCGTGAGTTGGCGGGTAGGTTGTCACAGGACTTAGCATCGAGTTTAGAGTCAAGCACAGGTGGTGGACCAGCAGTAGGTGATGTGCTCGATTTTGTTGCCTTTTCATTTCCGATAAGGAATACAATTGCATTTCACTTGGGCATTAATAGGCTCCGTGCAGCTGCTGGTGGTGGTGGTATTGCTGGGCAGTGTAACGTACCATATTATGCTGATGAGATAAAATCTCTGCGTGTAATTTTTGATGATTTGTTGGGGAAGATGGACCTATGCTTAAAGAAATTGGAGGAGCATTTGGCAGCTGCTGAGAAAGGGAAGGGAGAGCATCTTTTACCTGGTTGGTGCCAGTATCTTACTATTTTGAAAGAACTGGGTAGCATATCAAAATTGTACAAGGGTGCTGAGGAGATATTTTGGACGCATATGGGGCAAAGAAAGGTGGCGTTATGTTATCTGGTTCTCAAATTTGCAAAGAGGAGTGATGATAATGATTGGATTACTGACCATAAGGAAGTGACTAACTTTGAGGTGAGGAGGCATTTAGCAATGATGTTACTGCCTGAGGTAAAGGATGATTATGAGGAGCTGCATGAGATGCTTATTGATAGGTCGCAGTTATTATCAGAGTCATTTGAATACATTGCCAATGCAGCCTCTGACTCATTGCGTGCTGGCTTATTTATGGAGTTCAAGAATGAGGAAGCTACTGGACCTGGAGTGTTGCGGGAGTGGTTTTTCTTGGTTTGTCAAGAAATCTTCAATCCTCAAAATGCTCTCTTTAAGGCTTGTCCAAAGGATCGCAGAAGGTTCTTTCCAAATCCAGGTAAGCTTTTATTGCATCTTGAGCATTCTTAGTAAGTTTGATAGTTCCTTGTGCTGAAGTCTGACATGTTTGTGATAAATTGAAATGACATCTGGTTGTTGGTTGACATCACTTTTAACATTTTGGATGACTGGTTATTTATTGTAAACTGGTACAATTAACCATCTCTTGTTGAGATAGCCTAATCTTTATTGCATCCATAGTGCATGTTTTGCTGATGTCTGTTTTCATGTCAACTCCTTTTTTCGTCAAACTTAGGTTATCTGTTTGAGGTGCTGCAATATGTGGTTGAGTCCAACAACTGTTCAAATGTGGCACCATTTGGTGTTTCATTTAGCTCCTGGGTACTTGATGCCAAACCGCTAAAAATGTTGTCCCTTAAAAAAAATCCTAAAATAT